TTTTTTTTGATAATCAACGAAACAAAATTTTTTGTTGACATATTTTTCTGATAATTAACAAAACGATTTTTTTTTGATAAACACATAATGTTAACATTATCGATGTAAAAAACCAAAACGATTTTGAATTTTCGTTTATTGATAAAATTAACGTTAATGTGCAGCCCTGATTCTAAGTTGGAACGTGTGGTTGCTGATCTCGCGTAGACATTCTGCCAGGGGCAGGTACTAAGCGCCGAGTGTCTCCGGCAATTCTTGTAGAGCGCGCAGCGCTTGCTGCACTAAGAGCTGGCTGACTTTGCCCCTGTAGTTTGCAGTACGCAAACCTGTTGCTGTGCGTCGTATGGTGCGGTCCTCGACTCTCGATTCCACTAGGATGCGGCGATGTAATGGTGGGCTGTCAGTTGCTGCGGAGGTAGACGAACTGTGTCAAGTGTGTGTGGTGATGGCATTGCGAGGTGGACGGGGCCGTTGCGCGCGTGCCTTTTTCTGCGATTGGTGGCGGTTGGATGCTGGGTGAGTTGGTGCGAAGTGCCCAGCTTGGTAGCTACTGTTGCGATGAAGGAAGGTGTGGTGGTGGAGGCCACAGACACGACACTGCACTGCGGATGTGCGACAGCGCGAAGCAATTAGTGCAATAATGGTGCGCTCTAGCACGTAGGAAGCGTTGTTGAGGCTGCATAGCCGTAAACACCGGGCACGTCAACAGCGAATAGTATCGCATGCACAGTCGGCACCTTCGATAGTAGGTTTGGGTGTCTGCTTTCCGCTGTCCTTCGCTCGGAACATCGGTTGGTGTGATCACGACAGTGTTGCCAGGTCTTCGGCATGAGAAAACGTTCCTCTTGGTCCGAAAAAACGTCATTTCCTACCCAAAAACGTCTTTTTCAATTGAATGTACAAAAAATTGTTCTTATTAAACTTTTATTGTATACAAAGGTACATATCGAGCCCTAACCGCCAAAATAACGTAAGCGAAATTTTTTTCTAAATTTTCTTTTTGATGCAGAAATATTCCTAGAGCATTTAGATGCATTTCTGCGTCAAAAAGAAAATTTTGCCGCTTACGTTATTTTGGCGGTTAGGGCTCGATATGTACGTAATGTATATTAAAATGCCATTTCGACAAAGCACATTTAAAATTCATTGTAAACTGGTCGTTAATATAAAAATCATTTTATACATACACTTGTGATCAGCTGATTAAGCCATCGATAGTTTGATCGATTTCGGCTGTTACTCTTTTGTTTATTTAAAGTTTATTATTTTTCCATAAAAGCCAGGCTCAATAACAAACAGAATATAAATCCACAAAAATTGTGCAAAAATTATAAACAATCTGCAAATTTTCTGCTAGATTTTCAACTGTTTATTCAGAGTTTTTAGAATTTTTGTTGAGTATGCAGTTTGATAGCCCATTAAATTTCAGGCCAATAGTGTGCAAGTTTAAAGGGGCTAAATAATCGCGTTGATTTTTAATATTTTTTTTTTTTTGTAGACATTTGGTTAGGGGCTCGGTTGTCGAAAATTCTAAATTACGTTCTGCTAAGAAGGAGCATAGCAATAGGTCCATTCAATATCAAAAAATTGTTACGAATTGTTGCTAGTACTTGCAAGTTTTTACTGGTAATGCATTCAATAACCCAAAATATTTGCAAGAGGGAGCGAATTCGAGAGCGTAACAATCCGAGAGAGCTGCAAATTCTTGCAAGTAAAAATTTTACTAGCAGGAATTTGCAGGAGTCAAAAAGTAAGATTATGTTTCAAATTCAAATGTAAACAAACTGTTTAAGAGGATGATTTGATGAAACATAATTAGTGAAATGAAAATATGGATGAAAAATTTCAATGTATTGCATATTTATTTATTTTTATGACGATGGGAACTATTCCCAATTAAAAAGAAAATTGGGCGCCAAAATTTAACCGTCAGAAAGTGTCAAAATGGCTTAAGTTGCAAGTTTTTACTAGTTTTGCGTTCAATAACTTTTTCTGAAAATTTTCTCTTGCTTTCGATTTTACTCTCTATTTTTCTTTTACGCTCGCGCTGCAAGTACTTACTGGAAATGTTATTGAATGGACCTAATATTTCAGTCTTTTTTGTGTTCATTACATTTTCAATGAAGTCTTAAAAAAAGTCGCCTACTTTTTTCTGACGTTTTATGCTGCACAGCTTTTTTGATGTTTTTGCGAGCGTGCCTGCTGCAATAGATCGGCTCTTCCTGAATTGGCTTTTAATGTGCAATTCCAAACATTACAGCAAGCCTCGTAACCTCAAGTTTTTACACAACCAGCCTTTGAACACGGGATCCTTAGTCCAAGAATCTAGAAAAAATCTTTTGAAGCAGCTGAAGCAAAACACAAAGATTGTAAAGATTTATTAAGAAAATAATTCAAAATCAGTTTTACTTATAAGATTTAGTAACAAAGAAAAATTACTGGGAAGTTAAAAAACGTCATTTTTTACACAAAAAACGTCCAAACGTCAACAGGGTACAAAAAACGTCCAAATGACGTTAAAAACGTCAACCTGGCAACGCTGTATCACGATCCGAGACGACAATGACTTGCGTGGTGCATGAAGAGGGGTGTTTTGCCGTTCCATCTGTGAATGAGACATCAATAAAGATGTAAACGAACTAAAATGTTCGATTTGGGTGTGGTTCATATAATTTATGATTAGTGAAAGGGTAAATGAACTACATAAATTGTTATATTCGGGCGATTGTAAGGGAAGCGGTGCATGTGAGGCGGGCGAGCTACAAGTAGGAGCGTTGCGAGATTCTGTGTGACAACCAATGGGTGGAAAGTAAGGCATCCAATCCCGGACCCGGGATTTCGGGATCGTAAAATGGAATGCAATGGGATATAGTCATTGCGCTGGGTATGCAGTTACAGTTGCATGGCTATACTCAATCCCGACTCTTGCGTCCTCGTTCGCGCACTCTGGGCAACGTGAGCAACCCATGTGCGAGATGCGGTAACCAATCCGAGTGGAGCCTTGGGTCACGGCAGAAAGAGAGGGAGCTTCGGTGGGGCCACTCTGACTTATTCAGTTTAAGGGCTCACTGAAGTCTGCAGCGTCTGTTCACCAGTAGGTGCGGCTGCAAGCGGGTGTCTGCTTGGGGCAAGCGGCTCGCTATATAAACGTGTATTTGGTTGCGAAACCACCCCCGCCCCAGCAATGGGTTGTGCGCTGGGCTTGGGACCCGCCACGTAAAAACCACTTCCAGTGAAGAAGCAAGGCAAAGCCTCGGATGAGACCCCCCCTTATGATGACGACCACGGCAAACGTTTAAAGGACTACGATTTGAGGGCATGCACCTGGAATGTCCGGACCCTTAATGGGGAAGGTGCCTCTGCCCGGCTGGTTGATGTCCTCGTAAGGACAAAAGCTGACATCACCGCCATCCAAGAAATGCGTTG